GTTTTTTGAAGTGTCGTATCCTCACCTATCCAGACACTACGCTGCCGCCTGTATTCCTGTAGGTACTCGTTACTTTTTATTTATCGAGATAGCTTCCACAATCTTTTTCTTCTGTTAAAATATGCCTGAACTTCCCGGTTTCGCTCCTTCGGAAGATTTGCTTTATTGTTGCATCCAAGATGACAAATATGGCCGGTAATTTATTTCAGTTGTTTCAGTGTTCGTTCACCGCATAAAGCAAAGTGAATGGTTAGTCAGTAACAATGATCATTAGACCGACTGCACGCTAAAAATCACGAAACACCGTATTGGAAGCTTGACTGCCGCGTCGATTAGTCCCTCGATTTCATCGGCGCCTCTGGATAGAAATGTCAAGGGCCAAGGAAAACTCCATAGTTTACTAACAATGTGATTTTTAGCGGAATCAAAATGGAATCTGTTGGTAAACAGCGACTTAAAGAGCCCGGAGTAAGAACAACGCTTGGAAATGAGTAGCAAAGGAACTGACTATGAAAAGGTGTGCAAAAATAAGTGCTGTAGCAAGGTATTCGCAAAGTTGTCATTGATATTATGGAGACTTGTCCTAACATGGTACGTAAGCTTCCCATTCGGATATCTCCAAGCCAACATTCGGCCAAGTTAGAAGCGCGGGACACAGGGCATTCGAAGGAAAGCGCTCAGTGATTACAGGACCCGCTTGGTCGATGGCCTTGAATGGCGGACACACTAATTACTCCAAGCAAACACTGTGTCCAAGAATATGAATATTACCGCTCATTGACATATGTTGAAAATCATACATTCCATTGTCGTCCTCGGCACCTGAAGGACCCCGCGCATTTCGCGACTATCATACAGTATAAGAAGCACTAAAGTCCCCATTAAGTAGGGATCCTTGTTTATGCATGTTTGGCGCAGTTCCGTTTATCACACTTGAAAGCTTGTTGAAGGATGTAGTAGGTAATTGAAACCGATGCTTGTCAGATGTATTTGCAAAAAAATAGTTTGGGAAAACAATTATGTTTACAGCGTTGTTCCGTGCAACAGATGCGATTCAATTGCATCTAGCATGAGGGAGGAGCTGCTTGACTTGGCGACTTCTGGCGCGTATAAAGATTTGGTGGCCTCTGATGGATATCTCCTGGTTTACAATGTCTCCCGAAAACTATGCTTCTTTCCCGACTCCGTGGCGCAACGGTAGCGCTTCAGACTCCATATCAGAAGGTTGCATGTTTATGTCACGTCGGAGTCACCACTGTTGCGAGCGTTTAGGACACAACTGTCAATCTCAGACCATGGATATCAGGATAAGACCAGAGTTATGAAAGAATTAACAATCAAATGCCAAACGACCTGGCAATCCAACAGATACCGAGCGCGTCGCGTTGTGGTGTGTTCCTTCCATTCAGTTAAACAACCAGCAAGTTCAGGAATGATGAACATGTAGGTAAAGGCAAGATAGTCTGGCGCCTCTGCACGCATTCAATGCCGGTCTCCACGGTAGGGCCCTGCCCATGTTATAAATGTCATCTGTCACAGAAACGACGTCTTGACCTGCATAGTTTTGCTCTGCTTGTTAGTTAATCATTTCACCTTCTCACGTTCGCCTTTTCCATTCCCACCTAAATTCCCACATTTTCTCTTCCCCCCACCCCCTGTTTGAATTGCGAATGGAAACAATGTGCCCGTGTGAATTCTGAAATAGCTCTCTATCTTGGGATGAACTTCAGTTTCACCGATGACCTTAAGCGGTTTTCAATGCAGGCGAAGCTCATGCGAGGGGTCTGTTCGTTCTACCTGGAAAGCTTTGTACATCATCCTGTGCGACATCGTTATAATATGTTTGGGAAAGATTGGTTTTGCGCTCCATTTCTTCGCTTGAGGAGGATGAGGCGGACCCAAAAACTCTGTTCGCAACTCTATTCCTTTTTAGTTTGAGACGCGGTGTAGTGACTTGTCGGCCCCCGATTTAGTGACGGACACTCGACATTAGGGAAATCTGTGTCCTCGTTGGTAATTTTGTACCTAAGTTGGTGAATGTCATAGAGCCCTAAGACAGGAATTCAGGGATAGTTGTTTGATACAGTATGTCATCAGCAATAATTAGTGCTTCCTTTATTGACAAACGGGTGTAATCAGTGTAACTTGCTGTAAAACTGACTTTATGAGTGGAAAGATTGCTAAGGTAACTATTTATAGTTAACAGAATACCTTTTACAGACTTTCGCGTCACTGTCAACATTGGTTTCCATTTGTGGGGGTTCCCTGAGTGCTAGGCACTAGACGGGGTCTTCTTTGAATTTTTCCTTTTCAAGTTCCATGTGATTCCAAACATCGATATTTTGTAAAGTATGCTCTAAAGAGGTGGCGGCCGCTGGTGCTGCCAAGTGTTAAATGCAGCTGCTATACGTGCATGGTAAGTAAAACTATCAAAAGACAATTATGTCTTTCCACTCTAAAATAAAGTCTTCCGTTTTTACGGCCGCGCTTTTCTATTCCTCTGCGTTAGACACAGCTTATACTTTCATACTTTGCACGTTATTACTTCCCTCGAAATTATAGACGGCCCTCTTGTTCCTCCCTCGGATACGCAGCTAATTCACTTTGTAAATCTTTCCTATCCCCTTCTTTGATCCTTGCCCTGCCCTTTCTTTTTAAATTATTTTTTAAACTGACTGAACTACCCCGTACCTGGCTGATGCCTATTTTAACACACTTTAAAATCAGAGAGCATTTAGTCATCTTTACCGGATGTGACGCGATTGTGGCTCCCCATTGTTGCAGTTTTTCCAAGGTAATTTGCGTTTATCTGATTAGTTCTTTAATATGATTTCGTGGCTCATGTTTTATTTGTGTTCTGTTGCTCTTCTCCCTCTTCCTCCCCCCCCCCCAACGACGTCTCTCCGTTCTATCCCCCCGGGTGACAAATTTTGTTACATGTTCATGTGGTCGGGTATCGTCCACCTTCTAATCCTACGAATATTCGGGGATGTCGCGGTGGTTTTGCAAAATATAATAAAAAGCATGTCCTACAGGATTGTCAGAAGCCGTGAGTGTGCCCTAGACTTTGATGAATTCTTTGAATTGGCCCGGACTGACCGTCTGCGTGGTCATCCCTTCAAACTGCAAAGGAGCGGGCTCATTCGGAAGTCCGACGGAACGCCTTCTCTCACAGGGTCATCGGGGCATGGAATGGACTCCCTGATGCCGTCGTTCTTTCCAAAAGTGTCAAATCCTTTAATTGCAGACTAGACGCTCATTTGTTGAGAACCTACTGTACATATAATAATGATTGTTTTAGCGGCGGCAGTTTGCGCCTAGCTCACACTTACCGCTAACTTCTTAACTTTTCGCATTTGCTGATGTAATTGATGACCTTATTTCTGTTTATCGATATGAATAGGGAGCTCAAGGGCGAAAGCCTAATTCGCTTAATAAACTGACTTAAATTGACTTAAAGGAATGAAGTAAGTGTCTTGATGGCGCAACCGTTTGTGGATTTCGGAGTTCGGAGTGTGTGTGAGAAAGAGGGAGCTCATTGCGAAGAAACGATCAGGCGATATTAGCTCGTTTCTTTTAAACATAGGTCAAAAAATCGTAGCCAAATGTGGGACGCGAGGTTTTGCTTAGATTCACAGCAGGTAGAAGAGATCGACCCTAAAAAGACGACACGTCACTCCTGTAAGAGACCAGGGTGGGTGTAGAGCTCATCGGGAGCTTGTGTTGTCTTAAGTGGATACGAGAACATCGCTAACGTATTTATGCACACATACGTGGCTCGCGTAACTCTAGGTTTCTTGCTATAAGGGCTTCAGTATTCGATAGATTTCAATCGAATCTGCTGCTGATGCACGATCAAGGAGGAGAGAGCGAGACTTCCCATTAGAAACCACCCCACTGCTTTCTACCCCATTTTAATCAACCTGGCGCCTTGTCAATAAACGGCGACGGGTTAAGAGTTGTAGGCGGGCAGGTTGTTAGCTGACGGATTAACTTTCTTTCTTCTCAGGACCGAGACATCGTCTCCCTCCTGACGCAGACCTAATGGCAGTTTTAGCCTACATGGGATCCGAGGTCACTGTTAAATTCCAACTCGTGTACGAGTAGGGACCTCCGCGCATGTGACACTCGTGGGCGTGGGTGCGGCTTCGTCAGCCACTGCATCCACGCTCGTATGCGTGGCACAGTAGTAGAATACTCGACAATGAGCCATACCTAGTTCGAGACTCGGGTCATCCGGGCCTAAGGTTTAGCGCAGGGTAGCTGGTGACGCCAGATAAATCTGAAACTTTTTTCCCAGTCCTTTTTGTCTTTTCCGCCAGCTCTTTCCGAGTTCGACTTAGATTGTAGTCAACGAATGAAAATAACCCCATTCAGGTGAGTCTGGTAGATTGAAGGGACGTATGGATGTTTGGAATTCGATAGACAGGATATATCTGGTTCGGGAACTTTTTCACACGAACACAGGCTAGGTGGTGACCCCCTGGCAAAACAATACTGCAAACTGAACTCTTACTCGTTTTTTGAAAAGTACAGTCCTACATATTACATTGGCATCGTGAGAACGGTTTCAAGCTTCACATATAAGGATGTGTCCTGTAAAATTTTTGCACGCTCAGACGTAAAATGGCGAGAAAGGCAGACATCCCCTTCAAATGTTTCCCTCCCGATTTTGCCAAAAACGGGCTTTTGCTAACTCATTTAGTCTATGAAGGCCTAAGATCGGACCCCAAGTTCTTACTTAGTGGTTTAAATGACACTGATAATTGTTACTGCATCGGTTCATGCTATGCAAGCATTCTTGTCAACCCTGGAAAGAATAACTGACTTAGGGATACAAGCGAAAATGCGAGTCCCAGGAACTAGTTGATCAGAAGAAGAAGCGATCGCTGGAACAATGGCTTTATTCGCCTGACGTTTCGGATTCTCTCTTGAATCCATCATCAGAGACAGTTGCAGAAAAGGGTGGCTGGTGTACAGGCAGTCGCAGTATTTATAGGATGCGGTCGCCATGCTACCAACTCTCAACGTACGGACTGGCAAGATGGCTGTTTCGGCGCCTCAAATTTCTGACCGCTGATACGGACACCACGGTCTGTTCGTCAACGCAATTCCTGGAGAAGCTTAAAGGAGTAAGTCTCTTGCCCAATGAGGTCATGGTATCTTTTGATGTCACGTCCCTCTTTACTTCTATCCCCCAGGATCTGGCAATCGAGACCGTCCAACTACTCCTACGAAACAAATACGATGAAACGGAGAATCCTCTCGGACATGCCCAAGTCCTTCAGCTCCTAAAGTTCTGTCTCAGGACGTACTTCACGTTTGACGGAACAATCTACGAGCAAGTGAAGGGAACACCGATGGGCTCGCCGATTTCGGGATTCATCGCCGAGGCGGTGCTACAGCGGTTGGAGTCGCTGGTCTTCCAACACCACAGACCGAAATTCTGGGCTCGGTATGTGGACGATACCTTCGTCGTCATCGAACGGGATCAGGTGCTAACGTTCAAAGAACGTCTCAACAGCGTCTTCCCGTACATACAATTCACGATGGAGGAGGAAGAGAATAACCAGCTGGCATTCCTTGATGTCCTCGTCTGTCGCAAAGATTGTGGTGGCCTAAAGACCAAAGTGTTCAGAAAAGCAACGAACACGACGCAAATTCTGAATTTCAACAGTAACCACCCAATCTGCCACAAACGCAGTTGCGTAAGAACGCTATTTCGGCGTGTTGAAACGCATTGCAGTGAACCGGAAGACAAGGTTGCCGAATCCCAATATCTTCGACGGGTTTTCCGAGAAAACGGTTACCCGCGCAACTTCGTCAACCAGTGCTTGCGCAAACGAGACGAGCGACAAAATCGCGCCGACCCCAAATTCTGGCGAGCGATCCCGTACATCAAGAACGTCTCCGAGGCCGTTAGCCGCCTTCTTGCACCACTTGGGGTTGGAGTTGCGCACAGACCGGAGGCCACCATGAGGCGTCAAGTGATGAGACCAAAAGACCCACTGTCACGGCAAGAAACATCTGGAGTCGTTTACCGGATCTGGTGCAGTTGCGGACAAAGCAACTACGTCGGAGAAACTGGAAGACTGCTCCGGACGCGAATTGCCGAACACGTGGCAGCTGTACGGAGAAATGACGCCAACTCTCAGGTCGCGGCCCATTCGACGAGACCCGGCCACACATTCAAGTTCGATGAGGCCGAAATTCTCGCGAGAGGGGATAATCGCGTGAGCCGCGAGTTGCTTGAGTCATGGTTCACGGGACCTCAGTCTATCAACAAGTGCAATGACATCCCCACTCCATATTCAGTCCTGAGGCATAGACTGGCCAAAGCAATTGACCACTCGAGGAGCGCGCAAGCACGTGAGCCAGATGGCCGAGCAATCATCTCGCCAGCATCTAACACGGGTGATGAGATGTCAGCAATTAACAACTTGCATGCCGGCCATCAAGCAATTAGCGCACCTGCGGGCAACAATCCTTGATGAAGGGAGCATGGTTAATTGCTGTGGGTATGCGGTAGCATGGCGACCGCATCCTATAAATACTGCGACTGCCTGTACACCAGCCACCCTTTTCTGCAACTGTCTCTGATGATGGATTCAAGAGAGAATCCGAAACGTCAGGCGAATAAAGCCATTGTTCCAGCGATCGCTTCTTCTTATGACTTAGGGATACCCAACATCACCTTGTATGATAGCAGACATCACGTGGATAGTGTTTCGGTCATAGTACCAGTACATCTAGTACCAGAAGTACAACCCACTTAGACAGCAGATGCTCAGTCCGTGTCTGCAGTGTATGCTCCCGGAGGCGTTCATGGGTGGGGGGGGGGACGACATACAAGTCCGTAGGCGGTCCAGGCTAGCTTGGGTCACTCTTCCAATCAACCAAGCTGCGGCCCATAGCGGAGTTCGGAAGTCTGTTCAGAGATGTTACTGCTTACCCCCTCGCGAGGGAAGGGCCTCGAAAAGGCGCCATAAATAAATGCAGGGATCACGTCTTCTGCACGCAGACAGTGGCTCACAAATGTGAAACTCACGGTCAAACAATAAAAAGAATAGCACCTGTCGTCCCTTTCCCCAGAGCCCGCCTTAATTACTCTGCTTAATCTGGCAGACTGTAATGTTCGTTCTCTTCTGGACGGTTCGCGGAAAGACAGGCAGGAAAGAAGGACGACACTAGTCGCTCGAGAGTTTGCGCACCACAATGTGGCCATCGCTGCTTCAGTGAGACTCGCCTCTGCGAACAAGACCAATGGGAGCAGGCGGATGTTGTCAATGCCTCCTTCTAAAGCTTTCATCAAAAGTTAAAGCGACACAACGCTGATATCGCTCCTGCCATCCCGAACGACACCGTGGGAAGACCACCCTTTCCGCCAAAGTACATCAACGCCCTCCTCATGATCCTAAAGTTGCCCCTTCGGGGTGACGATTTTGCTACCGCCGTCAGCGCCTACGCTCCTTCTCCCAACGACCATCAACGAAGAGGTTATTAAAGAGTTCTACGAAGGGCCGCACGTCCTCCTGGCGACTATACCAAAAGGGAGGAAAAGCTGATTATCCCTGATGACTTCACTGCCTACGCCGAGATAGACCACGCTACCCGAAAGGAAGTTTCGAGTCCCATGGTCTCAGCAACCGCAACGACAACGGCCTTCTCCTGCGATCTTGCGCAGACTACCGCCTCCTCCTCATCAAAGCCTTTTCCGCCTTCCTAAGAGGGAGAAGACAACTTAAATCCAGCCCCCCCCCCAATCGCGGCACCAGCAGTGGCTAAATTGCGTTCCCGTCCAGAGCAGAGATTGACGAGACGTTCTGGTGGGCAAGGCGATCTGCAACACCGACGGCTCGACAGATCAAAGTCTCGTCATTTCCAAGACGAGGCTCCGATTGCAACTCACCGCAACCATCTGGTATGCTGAACACTGTTTTGTCGAATTTGCACGCTCACTGCATAGGTTTAAGCATCCGATCGGCACAGCGCCTGGATGTCCAGCAGTCTCCGGAAAAGGACGTCATCGTAGAAACACGGTGGTGTCAACTGCGGGGCTTCATTCATTTCATCGCCCTGGATGTCATGGGTCGCACACGTCGTCAACACCAGGAAGAGGAAATCAGCAAACCACTCGCCAAAAAAGGACTGTAGAAAGCGCACATCGACTGTCGTCCTGACGTAAACAAAGCGGCCTACTACAGATGTCACCGTTCTGTGCAGCAAGGGCAGTGGAAATCGCAGGACGCCTGGATGGCCCCCAAGGCTGGGGAGATCCAAGGATATGTGGAATGCAATGATACAAAGAGCTGCCTCGCACCTTGCAAAACGGTCAACCGCCCAAGGAACCGCCCCGCTTCTCAACTCCGAGGAAACAGCACTGCCCACGGAGAAATCAAAGATTCGAAAGTGTTAGGCAGAACACTTCTGATACGTCCTCAATCGACTATCCACAGACTACGACGGGGCCAGGTGGAAACTAACAAAGACCTGGACCTCCTCCCCAAGGAACAGTCAGAGCCGTGCGATGCCTCTTCAGCGGGAAGTCACCGGGATCCGATACGATTTCGGCCGATATCTATAAGGACGGTGGTCCTCGGCTGATGGCCAATATCACATTATGATTCCGGGAGATGTGATAGCAGGGATAATTCTCCCAGAACTTCAGAAACGCCACCATCGTACGCATCTACAAACTCACGGGGAACCGTCAACTCAGTGAAATGGTATAAAGAAATCTCGTTATCAAAATCACCGGAAATGTCTTCGTTCACATCCTTTCCAATCGTTTTAGCAGCCACTTGGAACGCGGACTTCTCCTGAAAAGCCAGTGGATCCTCCAACATCACTGCGGAGCCACTGACACAATCTTCGCCACAAGCCCACTACAAGAAAAATGTCGGGAAATGCGGACGAGCCTCTATATTTATCTTGTACGACTGACGAAAGACTTCGATAGTGAACTGCGAAGGACCCTAGGGAATGCTGCATAAATCTGTATGTCAAGATCGTTTGGCACGCATAGCACGCCAACTACATGAGGGGATATTGGCTCATGCCACGGACAATGGGACAATCTCAGGGACATTTACAGCAACCAGTGGAGTTAAGCAGAGTTGTGTACTCGCTCCTACCCTATTCAGTCTAATTTCCTTCCTGCTGATGAACGCCTACCGTGATGAGCGCCTCGGCGTTAGCATTGTCCACGGGACGGACAGCCTGCTTCTGAATGTCCGACGAGTGCAGACCTCAACGCAGGCTTTAGCAACATTTGTCAATTATCTCCACCTCGCGGACGACTGTAAACTCAGAGCTACGAGAGAATCAGCTATGCAAAGAGGCATGAACCTTACTGACTCCGGCTGCTCAAGTTTTGGCCTGGCCAGAAACACGGACGGAACAGTGATCAGACACCGATCGGTAGCAGAGGAGGAACACACCCCGCCCAGTATCCGCGTGAATGAAGCACGACTAGCATCCGTGGACAAGTTCGCTTACCTGGGAAGTACCCTCTCAAACGAAACCAAGATAGGCGGCGGAGAGGCCCACCGGCTCCCAAAGCCAGCCGGGCGCTCAGCCGACTACAGGCCTGCGGTTGGAGCCGTTAGGGTGATAGTTCTGGCGAAGTTGCTGTACGAGAACAGAGACATGGACCGTCTGCATCAATCAAGGCATAAAAATCAATTACTTCCACATCTCAGTTGCTGGTCCAATCGGTTGATGACCAAGCTAAGGAGAGTCTACTGTATTTCTACAGGTACAGAATAGTTCTTCCACTGTTAAAAGTGAAGGGACTTCTAAGAGCCTTTCTAGATTGGAAACGATGAGGCATCAGGATCAAGAATTTAAAACGCAACTACACACCTATCAACCGAGTAGCTGCAGTATGTGACTCATCTCAAGAAATCTCAACCAAAATTCTGAAATATTATCTCGGGTAGAATGGGTTACTTAAATAGAATCGTCACATTCACTATCGTGCCGCATTATCTCAAGATATTTTTATCACAACAGAGTGTCAGGTTATGAATGCACTTTCTTCACAATGCGTGTGACGGAAAGTTCGACAGAAGGGACTAAGCGCGCACTCTTAAAACTACGACACACTTGATTCAAACAATCTAAAGTAGAATTTCAAAATTTTGGCATACAAATATCACAAAATGCTGCGGAAGATCGTAATAGGTTACGCTGACACGACAGAGACATCGAATACCCAAATCCCGCTGGATTAGAAAGCTACTTGATGACCGCGTAGGACTTTTCAGTAGAGGGGAGATTCATCGTCATTTTATTTTGTTGACGTGCGTGCGAAGTTGGCATAGTGGACAACACTTGGTTAGCTGGGCTCCAGTGAGTCTCTAGACGTGCGGTATTGGGGATCGGTGCGTCAAATTTCTCATCTTCGCTTGGGATTTTATCTCTGACAGACCGTAATGAGGCGGCAAGAGTCTGCGTAAGGGTGACCTAGATGGCCGGGCCGATTAAGACAATTATGACGAAGATCTGTGCGCACACGAGTGGCAAATGTCGCCGCAAAAAGCAGGGACACGTTCTCAACATTCCCACTTTGTCTCGATGATCTGACAGTTCGACTGTCGTTGCCGATGATGCCCACCGTGTGCCCCACAACAAGGTGAGAGCAGGCATGGGGACTTGCGTGAGTTAGGTTAAAGGGGTAGTAGATTTGCGAAGCATCTACAGCACTCCCTCGTCTTCGACTACCTGAGCCTCGCGTCAGGACAGATTCAAAAACATCGGAGGCGGGAGAGGACCCAGGTGGCTGGCGCGGCGTAAACCTGCACCTGGGCGTGCCACCACACCTCTTGGTACACAACGTACACTGTCTTCTATTTTACACAACAAAAGAAAAGAAAGGCTGTCCAGATCCCACCATGTGGGAGTGCCATAGAAGCCGCATTAGGAAATAGTCATTACAGCCTGTCCCTTAGTCCACTAATCGGCTACTCTACACAAACGTACACTGGGTTCAGTGCAAGGTCCGATTTATCTCATCAGCTGGCAGCTTTCCAAGCCACGGCTTTTAACGCAGTGTAATATATTTAAACGCGTCAGATCGCGTATAGTGAGCAATATGCGCTGAGACCGCCGACCTTACTTTCTCTATCTCCCCCTCTTCCCACTCTCGGGCACCATTCCACTGTTCGGGCCGGTCATAAGTGGGTGCAATAGCTGACAGAGATAGAGAGCTCGTCTTCGAGCGCCGTATGCACGACCCGGTCCCCTAAACTGTCCGAGTCGTTCAGTCAAGTGATGCTTAGATTAGGAGAGATGGCTGACAGAGATGAGACCAGCTCGCCTGGGCGTGCCTGTATTAACGGTAGTTAAGCAAAAATGGGGAATGGGCGTCCTCAGCGGAGTCATTCTTGAAGAGTCGGGACTGAATTCCTCTTCCTCGTAGTTGTGTGGCTGGAGTAACCAGGTGCAGCCAAGACGCCTAACTGTGAGGCTGTGAAGCGGGCTGGCTAAT